CACCTGCAATGAGCAGATTGTGGGTGCATTCTCAGGCTCCTGCAAACTGTCAGTGTAGCAGTCAAACAGTTCCTCATAAGGGCAGACAGTTACTGAATGAAAGGTAGTATCAAAGAATTACCTAGAGTGCTCATCAGTGCCCTGGTAATTCATGGAGAACTACAAAGGCTGTCGGGACTTGTACTTCATTCAGAAAAATTCTGTGAATGAATGATGCGGCCGGTTGGTGGAGCTCCGCACAGCCGCACTGTTTTCAAAAAGTGACAGCTAGTATGGGGAATTTCTGCCTGTACTGCTGTCAAGGGGGGGAAGTCGGGCATCAGCTGCAGCAGTGGGAACATCTTACATGTTCCACCCTAAAAACGGGTGTAACATGGTCTCAAAGGTGAACTTATCCTTTAAGATTACATGCAGTCTGGCTTATTGCAGAATTAGATGGTTTAACTGCATCTTGAGTTACACAAAGGGAAATGTGTAGCGAGGACAAAACAGTGCTCATATGGCTCCTTTTTAAATCTTAATGCTAACAGAAATCATCCAAATAGCCCTGATCAAAAGTTTACACACCATGGAATATTTGGCCTTGGACACAAAGGTTAAAATGGCAATTAAAAGTTAATTTCCCGCATCTGCTGCTTTTTAAATTGCAATCAGTGCCTCTGTATAGTCAGAGTTTTTGTTAGCTCTCACGTGGATGCACTGAGTAGACTAGATACTGAACCATGTGGAGCAGAAAAGACCAACGTAACAAGGTAATGGAACGTTAGGATAAGGAAAAGGGATATAAAAGGATATAAAAAAATATCCAAAGCCTTGAATATGCCAGTCAGTATTGTTCAATCACTTATTATAAAGTGGAAAATTCAGGAATCTCTTGATACCTAGCCAAGGTCAGGTAGGCGAAGAAAGATTGCAGCCAGGATACAAAGAAAAATCAACAGGTAACCTCAGGAGAAGTGCAGACTACTCTGGAAAAAGACAGTGTGGTTGTTTCAAGGAGAACAATATGACAATACTTGAACAAAAATAAGCTGCATGAGTTGCCAAAAAGAAGCCTTTACTGCACCAATGCCCCAAAAAAGCCCGGTTATAATATGTCTGACAACACCTTGACACACCTCAGCTTCTGGCACACTGTAACCTGGAGTGACAAGACCAAAATTGAGCTTTATGGTCACACCCATAAGCACTATGTTTGTGGAAGGGTCAACAAGGCCTATAGCGACAAGATTAACATCCCCACTGTAAAGCATGGTGGTGACTCACTGATGTTTTGGGAGTGTGAGCTTTAAAGGTACGGGGAGTCTTGTAAAATTTGATGGCAAGATGAATGCAGCATATTATCAGAAAATACTGACAGACACTTTGCATTCTTCTGCATGAAAGCTGCGTATGGGATACCCTTGGACTTTCCAGCACGACAATGACCCTAAGCACTAGGCCAAGTTGACCATCCAATGGTTACAGCAGATAAAGATGAAGGTTTTTGAGTGGCCATCACAGTCTCCTAACCTTAAAGGATAAGTTCACCTTTTAGAAAAAAAATAATAAATGCACATTTTCTTGCAGGTAAACAATGTGGCTTTATTATTTTTGTCTACAGGAGCCTGTAAAGCATTGCACCAGCGATCAGTAGACTGCTGATGCTATGCAGGTTTCCTGCAGACCTGTGAGAATATCTTCTTGCCATATGGGATGTACGCTGTGGTAGTTCCTTGAAAATTACAAGCCTCAGCGGCTGTCGGGACTTGCAGATCATTCATTCGTGGAAGTCCCGTGAATGAATGATGCGGCTGCATGGGCAGAGTCCCGCACGGCCGTGCTGTTTTCAAATTTGACAGGTAGTATGGGGAGACTTCCCCCTGTACTATCTGTCGGGAGGGGGGGGGGGGGGGGGTCTGCGGCTGCAGCTATAGCTATGGGAACATGTTACATGTTTCATCCTAAAAAACAGGTGGAACATGGAACATGTTCCCCATGGTGAACTTATCCTTTGATATCATCAAGCCACTCTGGGGAGATCTTAAAGGTGCTGTTCATGCCGGACGACTTCGCATGACATGGAGGCATTTTGCCAGGACGAATGGGCAGCTATACCACCTTCAAGAATCCGGGCCTCATGGACAGCTATTACAAAAGACTGCACGCTGTCATTGATGCTGAAGGGGCAATACACAGTTTTAAGAACTAAGGGTATGCAGACTTTTGAACAGGGGTTATTTAATTTGTTTACTTGTCATGTTTTTCTTTTATAATTGTGCTATTCTGTTATAAAAATGGTACCGTATATTACCAATTCTCCAAGGGTATATGCAAACTTCTGACCACATTTGTAACATCATGTTTTTTTTGTAAATTATAAAAGATGTTGCCCAAATAAATAGGTATTCAACATGTCACACTTTAAAATTGTATACACCCGAGGAATGGCTACAAACTATGGTACATTTAAATTATCCATAGGCAACATTTTAAAAGCCTATGCAGGTTACCAAGTTTATAGTTAAACAGGAGGGTCTGGTGATAGAATTTATTGCTCTTGCTCTGACGTTTGCAGTGATACCTCACATGTATGATGCGATCACTGTTTACCTATCCGTGCAGGACCTACATGCACACTTGCATTTGTTGCGTGAGCGTATGGGGACAGGAGCTCTTTAACCCTTTGCGCCTAAGGGTAAAACAAATCTTAACACCTAAGCACAATTTTGAAACTTTGACGTGTTAGAAAAAGCGTTGTGGCAATACAGGGTTTCCTGCCACGGTGGAAATCACGATGGAGACCCAGGATTCTCTAAACTATACAGGTTGAGGGGCTCCAGGCAGATCTCATAATGCAGAGGAAACTGGTTTATCAGTTTCCCTCTTTGGTTTGTAAAGCCTGTTTTGGGACCTGTAGCCTGGAGATTTCTAAGAGATTTGGGAGGGATGAAATTCCAATCCTGGGCCCATATTTTGGGAGCAGCCAGCGCGCTGATTGCACAGGTGTGTGCAGGCCTTTTTGTGGAGGCCAGGCCATGATTCTGAGCTCCACCCCGGCAGATAGGAGTCAGGAGGGCTCCACCCCGGCAGATAGGAGTCAGGAGGGGCTCCACCCCAGCAGACAGGAGGTCTCTGCTTGGAGTCAGGTGGCTTCACCTAGTAGAGGTGGAAGCCAGACAAGCTGTGTGCGATTGGCTAGCTGTGTGCGGCGGGAAAGCCATTTTTGGATAGAGTCTGCAGGAGACAGACGGAAATCGGTTGTAACCAGCCAGAAGGCTGAATATCATTTGCATTTGTTTGATGTGGATACCCCTGCATGGGAGGATTTATGTGACGGGACATTTTCTTTCAAATAAAATTGGGCAAAAAGGCCCTTAAGAAGAAGCGAGTTGCTGTGTGCTTTAAAAAAAGCTCTACCACTTAGAAGCGAGTTCCCACAGCGTATATAACATCATAATTACTTTGTGCATTCAGGTGGATTATACCTTTTTCAGGACAAATTGGGCTTTCATCTGGTGGTAAATGGTAATGGATATAATTTTTTTAAAATGTAGCTGTATATTTCTTGCTACTACCATAACCTACCACCAAAGGGCAATTGTTGTTTGTACCCGTAGTACGGCCAGAAACAATAGTGCACATTTTGCGTTTCTTATTTTTTATCCTGCACTAATTGATACTAATTTAAAATGTTAAAAAACAATCCTGACCAAAAAAAAAAAAAAATACCGACCCTGACCTTGACCCTAACCCTGGCACTGACCTAGATCAAACCTTGATCTAGGTAATTTTGTATTTTTTTAATTATTTTTATTTATTTGTTTATTTTATACACACTTGTTTTTTTTTCTCTCTGAAAGGACAGAGAGAGAGATACAATGTATCTCTCTCCTCCATTCAGAGAGAGAAAACATGGGGGTGGGTTTTACAGTGACTGATCATTGTGATAGCAAATCAGAGGCTATCACAGTGATCAGGTGACCCGGAATCTGGAGTTTCCTCCACTGTCAGAATACATTGATCTGTCTGCAGCTGATTGGCTGCATGTGCTGATCAAATGAAATTTTCCAACATTTCTGTTCAAGAGAAGCCAATTAGACTGAGTTCTCTTGAGCGGGAAGGGCCATTGATGAATTGAAATTCAGCCGGTCCATGCTGAACCAGCCGATTTTCGATCCATCTGTGGCCAACTTAAAGGAGTATGTTCCAACTTTGTGCAGGCAACTGGATCTTGGAGAAATCTTCTGTGCAGGAATGCCATGTCTTCTTCCTGTCTGTGTTGCACTGCTGGGATTAATAATGTTCAGCTGTAGGCTGATCTTCTGTGAAAAAGTGGTGCCAGAAACCTGCTCCCTCCTTCTCCATTGAGTAATGCATTTTCATTTTTTCTACTGCCTGTACCATGATCCCTGGGATACTGTGACTCATGTAGTCATTCAGAAAACATTTCTCAGTAGAGAAGGAGGGGGTATGTTCCTAACACAAACTTTTCACAGTGTGGCAAACCTGGTTAGATACTTACCTCTTCCCCTTTCAGTTGATCTTCACTTTGCAGCCTTGCCAAAGCAGCACAGCCTTTCTTCTGAAAGCATTCCTGCCAATTTATTTTCATTCTGCACAAGCGTGCTTTCCCCATTAATTTCTATGAAGATAGCCATACTCTAGAGCAGTGGTTCTCAACCTGTGGAACCTCAGGACCCACATTTGTCCTTGGTCTTTAACCACTAGCCTACAGGGCACTTATACCCACTTCCTGCCCAGGCCAATTTCCAGCTTTCAGCGCTGTTGCACTTTGAATGACCATTGCGTGGTCATGCAACACTGTACCCGTTTGAAATTATCATTTTTTTTGTGACAGAGCTTTATTTTGGTGGTATTTAATCGCCTGTGGGTTTTTTTATTTTTTCTTAAACCAAAAACCATTGAAAAAAAAAAAAAAGTTTTTTTTCTTAGTTTTTGTTATACTATTTTGTAAATAAGTGATTTTTCTCCTTCACTGATGTGCGCTAATGAGGCTGCAGTGATGGGCACTGATAGGCTGCACTGATGGACACGGATAGGTGGCACTGATGCACTGATGAGGCACTGGTAGGTGGCACTGATGGGCATTGACAGGCATCACTGATGGGCACTGAAAGGCAGCACTCATATATGGCACTGATAGTTGGCACTGATAGGCGCCATCACTGTTAGGCGCCATGACTGGCACTGTTAGGCGGCACTGATAGGCAGCACTGATGGGCGCTGATAGGGGCACTGACTAGGCGCATTGATAGGCGGCACTGACTGGCACTGATGGGTGACATTGAAATGCAGATGAGATGGGCACTGATATGTGGCACTGATGGGCACCAAAATGTGGCACTGATGGGCACTGGAAGGTGGCGTGGATGAGCACTGACAGCTGGCACTGATGGACACTGACAGGTGGCGCTGCTGGGGCTGCACAGATCATCAGTGCTCTGATGATCTGTGTAGATATCCCCTCCGAGGAATGCAGATTACCGGCTCTCCTTTCGAGCTGTCAGCGTGACAGGTCGTGGGGAGAGAAATGCCGATAACCGGCATTTCCCTGTTTACATGTGATCAGCTGTGATTGGACACAACTGATCACATGACCGAGCCAACATTTTTGGCTCTTTCCGTAGATCGGTGATCGCCGCGATGCGCGCTCCGGGAGCCGCGCATGCACGGTTAGAATGGGAGGATGTCATATGATGTCCTCCCAGAGTGAGAGAACCACCTTGCGTCCGTCATATTACTATATGGCGGGTGGGAGGCTGTTAAGTCTGTCACGTCTATGATAGTGAGCTCTATCAAACCACAGCTTGGAGTTCCCCAGGGCACAGAGTCGAAGCCCCAGCCTACTTGTTCACCAGGGCCCCTGATGGTGGGGATGGACTTGGAGCAGGCTGGAACCAGGTCGCGGCCCCCAGGTACACCCAGCTGAGGTAGAAGAGACCGCTAGCGGGGGGTAGGGTACAATGGGAGTAGAGACAGGAGATCCAGTTGGCAAGCCGAGGTCAGGACAGGCGGAAAACTAGCAATGTCAGGAACGAAGCCGGGGTCGGTACACTGGTAGACAATATAGGAGGAATGTCAGGGACGAAGCCAGGGTCGGTACACAGATATTCTAAACGGATACTCAGTAGAACACAGGGGAGCTCCAACAACAAACGTTGCTCAGGCAATGTGGCCCAGTCTGAGCACATTTTAAATAGACAGGCAGACAAGGAGGTGGGACAGCAAGTGTTTGGAAGGGAAGGACATAAAACCCAGGGAATAGCAGATAACGCCCATAGGTGAGCACAGAACAACACACATGAAGAAATCAAGTGCAGCATGGAGGTAAGTGTAAAACACACAAGAGGCTGCAAGCTAACTTGTGACAGTACCCCCCCTCTTATGAGGTCTCTCCACTTTTTTAGGGCCAGGCTTAAGGGGAACCTCTGATGACACAATTCCACCAGACGGGGTGCAGAAACATCAGTAGAAGGATTTCAACACCTCTCCTCAGGACCATATCCCTTCCAGTCAATTAGATACAAGAGCTTCCCTTTGATGAATTTAGAATCCAAGATTTGCTTGACTTCATACTGATCCGAAGTACTCGCTATAGAGGAAGGATGATGATGAGGACAGGAAAATATGGTCTCAGAAGAGAAACATGGAAAACATTAGGGATTCTCAGATGTGAAGGGAGGCGGAGTTTGAAAGCAACAGGATTGACCTGGCTAAGGATGGTAAGGGGACCAATGAACCGAGGATCAAATTTCATAAAGGGTACCCGTAAACGGATACTCTTGGTAGAGAGCCAAACCTTGTCACCCGGGAAATATTTGGGACTTATCTGGTAATGACAGTCAGCAGCTACTTTGTACTTAGAAGCTGACAGATGTAAGCTCTTGGAAACATTTGCCTCGGAAGGAGTAAGAATAGGAGAACATACGACAGGAAGTTGGGCTGGAGCAGACACCAAAAACCGGGATGAAGGGTCTGGTGAGGAGGCTGCCAGGGAGGGCACAGGGGTGGGTGTGAAGGCTTTGATTTGTATAGTGGGCAAGACAGGCTGTGCAGAACAGGAACCTGGGGTAATACAAGGAACAGAGGGCACTGTAGGATGTATGGGGACAGGACAAGGGACAGAAGGCACGGTAGGGTGTAGGGGGGCAGGGCAGGGAACAGAGGGGTTCAGTAGCTACTAATGTGGAACCCACGGCTGGCTCCAAAGAAGCTGAAGGGAGTTTTGGGGTCTCAGCATGCAGGGCACATGAATCTGGGAACTCAGATGGTACAGATGTCGGAACCTCCACCCATCTGAAAGGTCGCGATATAGGAACTCTGAGCTGCAATATATGTAAAGGGACTGAAGATTTGGGCAGCAAAGAGGGGAAGGAACTAGAGGCGGACAGCACCAGAAGGGGGCCTGTAATAGGAGTAGGCAGGGGAGCAGCCTTACTACACGAAACATCTTGTAAGGTCTGGCAATGTTGAGGGAGCATCAGAGAGGGGGGTGGCCACAGCCACGGTACAGTGCGAGGTGGGCGGACAGCACAAGACCTAATTACATGACCTTCAGCCCCACAGTAAAGGCATAGACCTAATCTTAGGCGACGCAATCACTCTTGTGAAGTAAGGTGTGTTCGGCCCAACTGCATGGGCTCTTCAGACGTTGGTACTGTTATAGAGGTAAGTGGATCAGGGACTCTCTGGAAAACAGGAGCAAAAGAACCCACTGGAGAACGACGTGGATGAGCCCTTTCTAGATCTTGCTCCTGGAAGTGGATATCGATCTGGATGCTAAGAGCAATCAAGTCATCCAGGGAAGAGGGTATGGTTCTCCTAGCTAGTTCATCCTTAATACGGTCTGCTAGACCCTGCCAAAAGGCTGCAGAGAGGGCCTCATTATTCTATGCCAGTTCTGAGGCTAAGGTGCGAAACAGAACTGCATATTGTCCAACAGTCCTGCTGCCTTGATGAAGCCGAAGAAGAGCTCCCGCAGCAGATGAAGTCCTGCCGAGCACATCAAACATTTTCCGGAAAGCTTGCAGGAAGGCTGGGAGACTGGAGATAGTGTGGTCTTGATGCTCCCACAGTGGCGAGGCCCAAGCCAGTGCTTCACCTGAAAGGAGGGAGATCATGTATGCCACCTTGGAACAATCGGTAGGGAAATGATCGGCTGCTAATTCAAAATGAATCGAGCACTGATTGATGAAGCCTCGGCAGGCCTTAGGATCACCAGAGAAGCGAGGCGATGGAGGCAGCGAGAGTCTCGAAGGACCATGTTCCACTGGGGGAACAGCGGAAGGTGGAGCAGCAGGAACTGGAGCAGAGGGCGAGGAAGTGGATGCAACCTGTAGCTGATCCAACCGGGAGGAGAGTTCCTGCAGACAGTGCATGATTTGTTTCAGGGCATGCTGCGGTGTCTCCGAAGAGCTCATGGCCTGAGCAAACTATCACGTCTATGATAGTGAGCTCTATCAAACCACAGCTTGGGGTTCCACAGGGCGCAGAGTCGAAGCCCCAGCCTACTTGTTCACCAGGGCCCCTGATGGTGGGGATGGACTTGGAGCAGGCTGGAACCAGGTCGCGGCCCCCAGGTACACCCAGCTGAGGTAGAAGAGACCGCTAGCGGGAGCAGGGTACAAAGGGAGTAGAGACAGGAGATCCAGTTGGCAAGCCGAGGTCAGGACAGGCGGAAAAAAACTAGCAATGTCAGGAACGAAACCGGGGTCAGTTCACTGGTAGACAATATAGGAGGAATGTCAGGGACGAAGCGGGGGTCGGTACACAGATACGCTAAACAGATACTCAGTAGAACACAGGGGAGCTCCAACAACAAACATTGCTCAGGCAATGTGGCCCAGTCTGAGCACATTTTAAATAGACAGGCAGACAAGGAGGTGGGACAGCAAGTGTTGGAAGGGAAGGACATAAAACCCAGGGAATAGCAGATGACGCCCATAGGTGAGCACAGAACAACACACGTGAAGGAATCAAGGGCAGCATGGAGGTAAGTGTAAACACACAAGAGGCTGCAAGCTAATTTGTGACAGTCGTGACCCAAAAATAATTTAATTTCCAAAAATTATAATTTTTTTTCACAAAACAACTTGTACAGTATTCTGCAATCTATATGCACTTTTTAAACAGTAAACAAACCCCCCTTTTCATTCCCTTCTCTTTCATGGTTTTTATTCAGTCCTTCCCTGTCATGCACACTTTCAGTGCCCCCCCCCCCCCCCAATCAACATCACTTTCCTGTTTTCTTTCACTCCTTTCAAAATGCGCTCTCCATCACCCTGCCACAACCCAGGAAAAGTACCTAGCAGAGTCATTGCCTGGTGTCCAGTGGTGCTTTTCTTCCCTCCTGCCCGGCTGGCTGGAAGGAAGTGTAGTTATATGTCACTTCCTCCCAGTGGTGCCGCGGAGGAAGGAGGAATGAGTGCGAGGGCTATGGGAACGCTTTTTAAGTGCACCATGCAGCCACTTTAATGTAACCATCTGGCTGCAATAATACAAATATTTAGGCAAGCCATACTTGCGGTCCCAGCCGTCTTAACATTTATATTAGTGCAGTTTTCATTAAGCTATGTTGTGAAGGCACCGGATGTTTTAATTGGCACATTAGGGAGGCCTGGGGGACACTTGCCCCATTGCCCTTTCCGCCCCTGTTCGTGACCCATTACTTGGGAACTGCTCTAGAGGACTGCTGGAGGCCACTATGAGTTCATAAGAATGAATAGGGCCCTGACTCACATACACAGAATGAAGATGACACTATTGGGGAAATTGTGAAAAGAAAGACTGTGCTACTCTGGGCTGGACCACTTAGCTGGACCACTTAGTGCAGAGGTAAGTTTTAAACAAGGTGGGCCTATTTAAGGGGTTGTGGGCATACTATAAGAGACAACTCCTACCAAAGGTACATTTGTCCTTTAAAACCTACCCAGTAAAGATATTGCCAATTCAGTTTGGCAGTGCCAAATCATAAATTCCTTCCATAGAACTTCATTCCAGTCTTTTTTCTACAAAATAATAGATTGCAAAACATTTTGTATTTTGTAATAGGTGAGAACATATAAGGCTTTATAAAATTAATTTACTAGTACCTGATGCTCACTGATTAGTTACTGTTTTCTTTCTTTATAGGGGAGGTCACACCTGGATTGACACAAACAGAATATGCCTTGCGTCGTCACAAATTGATGGCTCTTATCCAGAAAGAATCTGAAATCCTTGGTGGAGTAACAGAGCCTGCGGTTATTGTTTTGGCAAATCCAACACTATACATGACAAGTGACATTCCATTTCCATTTCATCAGCACAATGATTTCCTCTACTTGTGTGGGTTTCTAGAGCCAGAAAGTATCCTACTTTTACAGTCTAAGCCAGGACATGCACTACCATCTCATACAGCCATACTATTTGTGCCACGCAGAGACCCTAGCCGAGAATTATGGGATGGACCTCGATCTGGAGTAGATGGAGCAGTTGCACTGACTGGTGTAGACCAGGCTTTCCCATTAGAAGACTTTAAACATGTAGCACCAAAGCTGCTTGGTATGTTGATCCTTTATCTTAAAGGAAATTTACAGTGTGCATACCAAT